GGCTGGATCGCAGCGATGCCGTCGCACTCGCGATCCTGGGCGCCGAGTCCTCGACGAGTTCCCAGATGGAGTCGATATTCTTGTACATGGACTCGAACTCCCGGTGAGGACGTCTTGAGAAGACGGGTCTGCGCGTCGGAGGCCACGGTCGCTGACAAGCGTTTGCATCCGGTAGCTACTGCGAAGGCAGCTGCGGTTACGGTGAGCGCTTTGACTCCAACGGCGTCGAAGGTGGAGTCGCAGACGCACCGAGGTGCAACGTTCCGGCGTCACTGATCTTCTGGAACGCGTCGTTCTCCCACAGTTTGTCCCATTCTGACTCTGTGCTCGCGTGTTCGACCGTTCTTAGTATACTGACGAGCAGTCGGGTCCCGGTCGCTGCGTCGGGCGCCGTGGACATTTCGTGTGGAGTGGCAGTGCGTCCTCCACGGGGAATCGGCAGGGCTGTGAGACGGGGTCAGCGTCGGGAATCGCACAAATGAAGGACGGATACAGCTCGGGTTCCGCAGCTTGGTCGTTCTGTTTCTCCGATTGAGGACCTGCGGCGAAGACGACGCGTCTGGTGGAGGGGCCCGGCACGGAGGGACCTTCGACGTGAGATCGAGGAGACATCTTTGCACATGTCCACCCACAAACTCCGCGGGTATATGACGCCAGTCCTCCGTTCCAGCGAACTGTATGAATACGCGCTCGAGCGCTGCAACGAAGCGAAGGTGTGACCAGATGGCGAATGCCGTCTGAGGAATGGGAGTGGAATTGGAGCATGTCTTCCAGAGTAAGCGCGAACCAGCTGCAGGCGTCGTCCGGTGATACAGGCAGCGGTGACAGTCAATCGTGTTGAGGAGCTTTTCGAAGGAGGAGAACGCGTGCGCGACGAACGGCTGGATCACAGCGATGCCGTCGCACTCGCGGATCCTGGGCGCCGAGTCCTCGACGAGTTCCTGGATGGGGTGGATATGGTTCTGCATGAACATGAACTCGCCGGTGAGGACCTCTTGAGAAGGCGGGTCTGCGCGTCGGAGTCCACGGTCGCTGACGAGCGTTTGCATCCGGTGAGCTGCCGCGAAGGCAGCTGCGGTCATGGTGAGCGCTCTGACTTGGACGGGGTTGAAGGTGAAGACGCAGGCGCACCAAGTTGCAACGTTTCGGCGTCACTGATATTCCGGAACGTATTGCTTTTCCACAGTTCGTCCCATTCTGAGTCTGCGCTCGCAGGTTCAACCGTTCTTTGCATGCTGAAGAGCAGTTGGGCCGCGGTCTTGTTATACTCCAGTGATGAAGCGGGCGTTCTCGGAGAGCCGGCGTCGTCGTCTCCTCCGCCCTCGAGCACTTCTTGAAAAGAGAACCCACCGGCCACGTTCAAGAGGGGGGTCGTAAACATCTTCACCATAAAGTCTGGCCAATGGAGCACAGACCCGTATAGGGCCGAGAGGCGTCCGAAGGTCCATTCCCGATACGACTTTGCGACCCGTGGGTCGCTGGATAGGCAGATCGCAGACGTGTGCGCCATGCTGACGTTTTGAGAGCTTATCATCGCCCAGTGGACCGTCTGTGCGTCGAGATCGGTTGCGCTTCGTGAAAGAATGGCCTCCTCGTCGCCTTTCCATATTGAAAGGGGCTCCGGAAGCCTTCTCGAGGACAAAAAGTCGCGGAAGGCCTTCCATCTGGACTCCCAGACACTGTTCACAGGGCTTCTCATGTAGCGGGTGTGAAAAAACGAGTGGAGGGCACGTATTATTGAACGATCAACGGACGAGTAGAAGCTGAGAATGACACTCCAGAGAGAATGGAAGGCCCTGGATTGAGGCGAAAAGTAACACATCGAGGGATAGATAGAGGGGACGATGGATGTGACGATGATGAAAAGCAGGAGCATCCCAACGAACACCGCAGTGGCGGAGAAGACGCGGACGTCGGAGTGGAAGAGGAGGATGAGGAGGCCTGCGAAGAAGAGAACGACGGCGGCGATCAGAAAGAGAGGTACGAGCGAGATGATGAAAGGGATGTGCGCTTTATTGAGGTTCGAGAGCCGGTAGATGCGACGTTGTGTGATTGGTGCGGAGAACCCGTACAGCCCGGTGTTGTACTCTTTGAGCCACTGCTTCACCATGATCCCAATCGTTGCCGACGACAAGCTGAACGTGAGACTAGTGAACCAGAGCGCATTGACCCAAACGGCCCAGGTCTCGGGGCGAAAGGGGGTCGGCACGATATCCTGGAACGCCAAGGCGGTAGAGTTGACGAATGAGGGATTGAGCGCAAAGCTCTTCAGCTGGGCAGACACCTGAGTCAAGATCGCGTTGGTTTGATCGCTCGATTGAGGCTGGAGCATTGCGAAGGCAATGGTGTTGAATGCGGTGAGAGCGGCGGAGAACAGACCGTCCTGAGGGATCACGGGTAAGGGTCACTGCCGACTCGGCACGAACATCGAGACGTACAAAGGTCAAGAGACCGTCGATCTCCTTGTTCCACTGGTCGACGAGCTCGTCGCTGTACTTCTCCACCGTCTTTCTAGTCTCATCCCATGCTGCCTCGACCTCCGTCTGCTCATATTTCTTAGTAGATGTTGGTGGGACCTACCATTCAGGACGCTCAGCATATCTGAATGCGACCGAGTGAAATGCAGGACGTACTTTCACATTGTCGTGTACACCCGGCAGTTCTTTATCTCCTGCTGCTAGTGATGGTTCGATACGAGTCTGCGCACCCCATGAATCTCTAGTATGTGAAAGAAAGTGAACGATATACTCACGGGTTCAATCCCACCAACGTTCTGTTCCGTTCCAATCCTCTCTTCTGCCGCTTGCGGGCGCTGATCAATGGTGAGCATACGAGAGGGACGTGGAAACGATCACACGATACCTTCTTGAATTCTTCAAGAATCTCCTTCAGCAGGATGCAAACTTTGTCAAGGGCTGTGTTCGCCTGATCGAACTGTGTGAGCCAATTTTAGCTTCCGAAAAGAGAAAAACTGGCATACTGGCAGCGTCACGGCGGAGGGTGTATCTTCAGCCTGGAGGCGAGCTGTGTCTGAGGTTTGTTGAATGGACAAATGCGCCGAGGTCTGAGTGTGAGCGTATCAGCTGGTCGTTCGCGTCATTGGGTGATTCAAGTCTGTGCGTACCGGAGCGCGGGGTGAATCATTGGCAGCTTCGACGATCGGCGAGGGCGGCATAGTGAGGCTGACTGGGATGGAGGTTCCCTGAGCGCCGGATCTCGCGAGACGGGATGTGAGCAAGGACGTGGGTGGGGAGGAGGACGGGGAGTGAGCGGTAGGCGAGCTGAAGAGAACATACAGCCTACCCGTCACTGTTAATAGACGCATGCGCTGACCGCGCAAACTCCGCCTGGCAGTTCCGCGGTCGGACGAAGGAGAGGGCTACGGTCGACGCTGGCCTCATGCTCGTGCACCACACTTTCCAAACGTGGGCGTGCGGGATGGCCCTGCACGTCAGTCTTCGCGTTCGACGCCCCACACAGTACACTCTGACTCGATCCCTGCGGCGCCAGAGATACATATGTAAGCGCCAATGGAGACGCGCCTCGGTGGGCGGGCAGCGGGAACGCGAGCGGTACCTCAGGTACCGTGCACCATTTTCCTCTCCCTCTCTCTCTCTTGTTTCACGCTTCGCACCCCGTTCAGGTGTCCGACGGCACTTGGTGCCAGCCATCTCCTTCGCCCATCCTCCTGGCGGCGCTCACGACACACGCACAACATGGGAGGGCGCCGCGCACCTGGGCACCCAATCGCGGGTGCCCGGTACCCGGTGCCGCCTTCCCCTCCTGCTTCGCCCGCCTGGCCTGCCTCCCTGCAGGTGGACACCTAGTGCGGCGTGTGGGGGGCGTCCTCCCGGGCGTCCTCCACCCGCGATGAGATCATGTTGGGGTCGCGATGAGTTACGGCGACCGCTAGCTCGGTGCGTACACCCCGTCTTGTGCTCTCCACCTCTGCTTGACCCCCGTCCACCTTGCTCTCCTCCGCTCTCGCGCGGGCCCTGTTCGCTCGCGCAGGCACGTCCGACTCGCGGGTGCGGCATGGCGTCCCCATCACCCCGTTGCCGGTCTTGTCCCCACCCTCCGCTTGCCCTCCTTTGCCTCGCCGTCCTCCGCTCTCGCGCGCGTCCTACTCGTCCATGCGAACACGACCTCGCCGCGCTCTGCGCGCTCGTTCGACTCGCCGGCGCACAGCACCACGTTCTCGCCAAGGTCGTCGGCAAGGCTCGCAGGGAATCGGTGGTCATCGAGGAGGTTGAGTCCAAGCAGCTCGGCGGTTCCGAGTGAGTCCTGAGACCATTAGTAGACATTTCCGTACTCGTCCAGGGCCCACCCTCTTCTTACGCCCTACACGCCAGTAACGGCACCTTTTGCACGCTGAAAGCTGCACGTTGAATGGTGACCGCAGCGACCACAAGCCATTCGCCGAACTCCATCGTGAGCGTATGGCAAAAGCTTCTCAAACTCATCCTCGACTTCGACGCCTCCGGGTCCGTCGTTCCCCACCCCTATCTGCCTCTCGCCCACCCCAAACGCGTGCGACTCTCCCTCACGCGCATCTCCAGAAAGCTCTCTCCACGCCAGCTCGCGATGCTCGACCTCCGTCTGGATTGGCAGTATCTCAGGTGAATGCTCGACACAATCCAGATGGACTGGCTCGGGCTCCCCTCGCACTCGGAGCACGGGCTATACAACGCGTTCACGCCACTCGTCGACGGCGTGCTCGACCACACGGAGGTGGTGGGCGTTGCGCTGATGTACGACCTGCGCGCGCGCGATCGCTGCGTCCTCCTCGACGACTCCCATCGCTCGCCACCTTCACTCGCGACGTCGCTCGTCGACTTCGATCCCGATACGCGTCCACTGTCCGTACGCGGTCCCGAGCGACGGGGGCGGCAAACCTCGCCGCGCGTGTCACAAACGCCGGCAGGCGCGCCCTGCCGCGAGGTTCCGGGGCGACGAAGCGGGTAGGTGGGGCGCTACGAACTGCAGGTACGCATGCTCTATTTTCTCGCCCTGCGGTCACTGACACCGTGCGATCTGTTTCTCCCGACAGTACTGCGACGCTGGCACGGGCTCCGAGCGTGTGTCGGCTATGGACACGGGCGTCGACGTCGACGTGAGCCCCGCAACGTTGACAGACCCCGCTCTGGCCCACCTCCAGCTTAGGGCACCAGAGCGCAGCGTAGACGGAATGCACCGCGACGATAGCGAAAGCGCTCTGCAGCCGTACGGTGCCGTGCCACTGCTCGTGCGCGCGGCGCTGTGCCTGTCCCCGGTGCCGACACGGTCGCGGATAGGCCTGCGCGCCTGCGCGCCAGGAGGAGTGGGGCGTAGACTCGTCGGAGGAGTTTGTAGTTATAAGATAGTTCGCGGCCGTGCAAGTCGACAGTGCATATATGCATGTGGTGCTGTACTGTACTACTGTGTAATGCCATGGTGTTGACCGCACAAACCTCCACGTGTTACCGAGGGTCCACCTTTTGTGTGCACGGGTTGGATGACCTGCACCCGTACCCGTGGTGATCCCTACCGGGTACAGGCTACATATGTATGATCCTCGTTCGCCCCACCCTCTCCTTCTGCGCACGCATCGGCCTTCAGCACAAAGAAGTACTGGGACTACACCGTGCATCGCTTCTGACTAAGGCCAAAGCACGTCCGAATATTGTACTCCCGCGAGCATCTGGGAGAACGTTCGCACATGTACTTATGCGTATGTGCATTCGATAGCGTACGACAAGACAGAACACCGAAAGCATCTGCACGAAAGCATGACAACAATGTGCACATACAGCACTTTTTGGCGTCGCCGATGCGACTACTCCATGCCCTCCACCTACGCGATAGATATCGACAGCTCCATCCCCAGCCGCTTCGCCACATGCGGTGACCCCCCTTGATCAGAGTCCTCCTGCTCCCGCGCCTGCGTCTGCGGCAGCAGCGACACCACTTCTCCATCTCCTTCATTGTCACTCTCCTCAGGCAGTGACTTGCGCTTCGCCACTTTGAGCAGCCACGACGCCGCCGCTTTCCCGACGGGTGTGTCGTCTTTGAGTGTTTCGTTTTCTCGCGCTGGGGTAGCCTCCTTCATCGCGTGAGGCTCGGGCTCCTCCACCGGCCCCCGCCCAGAGCCTCCACCGCCCGCCCACGCATGTCCTGCGACGGCGCCGGGAAGTCCTCGCCCGCCTGCCGCGCGCACCCGCAACAGCGCCTTCGAACGCCGCTGGAGCCTGCCGCGCCGGCTCCCCTCGCTCGCGGCGGACCGCGCGCTTGACAGCGCGTGGCCGTCCCTGACCCCGTCAGTGTGGGCGTCGCGCACCGGGATCACCACGCGCTCAGGCGACGATGGGTGCACGGCAAGGGTGGGGCTCGGGTTGTCGAGGGACGTGAGCGAGCCCGCCGTGGAGCGCGTCGACGCGGCCCGCTCACCGTCCATGCGGAGCAGCGACGCCGTTTAGGGCAGTCTTCACAGGGCCATCATCGGGGCGGCGGGGGGAGGGGTGTGCGCGTGCTTCGTCCGCGATGGAAGGGTGGAGGGGAGGGCCTGGAGCGACGCGGTGTGGAGCACGGGCGGGGTCGCGGGGAGCGGCTGGGGCGCGCCTCCGAGCTCCGCATAGGTCGCGAGCCAAGGGTGGTTCAGCACGAGCGACATGCGCTCGCTCGAGGAAGACGCGAGGAGCGCGCGGATGGGCTATGTGTGCGGGGCCCAGGTCAGCTCGCGTGGCGAGGAAGAGAGAGCGGACACGCACCCTGCTCGCTGACGTCCCACTCGCACAGAAGCATCCACTGCACCTGGCTGGTAATGATGATGGTGTGCTCGGTAGGTCTGCGTCGGACGGGGTGCCCTGCATGTGCCTGAGGATAGGGACTGACCAGCGCGCGGCCGGCGTTGGGTCGATCGCGGCGCTCGGACGGACGCACACGGCAAAGACTATCACGTCCAGCTGTACATTGACCACACCCTTCCTGTGTGGGGAACACGTCGTGAACGGTCACTTCCGGCGCGAGGTGCCGCAGAACGTCTGGACGCGTGTTAGCGACGAGCAGCCCTGGCTCGCGATAAATGCTCACCTCGAGGATCGTCTGGGAACCCATCGTCTTCGCCAGCCCCCAGTCGGCGGGTACTGGTCCTTCAGGACAATGTTCTCGAGCTTCAGGTCGCGGTGAATGATTCCTTGATCGTGCACGCGCTGCAGACAATGGTCAGGTCGCGGTGAGGCGGTGAGGACAGAGGTGCTTACGGAAAGGACTCCGTAGATCCGGTAGGTGATCCGCTGCGTCTCGGCCCCTGTGCGATGACAGGGAGCGCATATACCAGGGCAAAAACTGAGGCGGAGGCGCACGCAGCCCGCGGTCTGCGTTGGTGATACCTTCGAGCAAGTCTCCGCCAGAGACGAGGCCTGCATACTCAGATCGTCAGAGCTGATCTGGAGGGCTTGGTCAGCGAGCGGTGCAGTGCGGCGCGGCGAGATCGCATACTCGCGAACGTCCCATTCATTAAGAAGTCGGCGACATTCACCGCGGCCTGAGCAGAGTGGTCCCCGTCTCACTCGATCGAGCAGCGCGTGCCGCCTGCGGGCGGCGGCGTCAGTCAGCCGGGCAGGCGCAGACGCACTGATCGCCCGCGAGCCATTGTCGAGCACCACGTCATTGAGACGGTGGGGGTTGCGCCCGAACCGGAACGTGCGCTGCGCCTCGAAGAGGTAGCGGCGTTGCAGGGCCATCGTCGGCCGGATGTGCATGTGAGGCCTTGAAGTCTGGGACACGAGCCGGGTCGCCGCCTGCATGTCTCGAGGCGCTATCTGCTCCATCGTGGGCGGGGACCTGTCCGGGACGAGATCAGCGAGAGGCGAGCGCATGCAGCAGCAGAGGCGTACGTGGGAGGTGAGTCTGGCGATGACGTCGCCGTGACACGTCAGGGACAGTTCAGTGCGCCCATACCCCTTCCATCGCGGGTGGCCAAGTGCAGCCGATATCGGATGGATGTCGATGATCTGGTGGCGCCGCGCCAGGTGCGCACCACGGTAAATTCTGGTCAAGGAAGTTGTGAGGACGCTGGACGGAAGTGGAGGGACGGGAGGGCATCGTGGGCTGGTAAGCCATTTGGCAACGTCGAGCGACCCGTCCGCGGAACAAGTGCCGCATGTGCAGAAATATCTGGGTACCTCCGCACGGCGCACGAGACGACGGTAGACGCAGCGAGAGCCCCGCACCGATGGGGCCGAAGCACACGGACGGAGCGGGGGAGACGCGCGAGCGAACGCGGGCGGAGGCGCGCGCGACGCCAGAGCCGGCAAAGACGGCGATGAAGGCAAGGGCGGGTGCGCCATCGCCGAGCGCGAGCGCCGTCGCGGACACTGGAACGCGACCCCACTTGGCTGCGCCGGTCGAGCGTCGAGTAGGGGCCGGAGGAGGAAGGTGTGATCGATTTCGAGCGACTGGTCCACGGAACCCGAGGTTGGCAGCAACGAGCGGTACCGTACGCGTGTCGTCGCTGCCGTGGATCGAGACACGTGTGTGCCGCACGCCAGTGGAGATTTCTCCTTCGACCTTCGCGAAGGGTGCGTGAGATGTTCGCGATGCCGCGTGCGCGGCCATAGTTAGGCCGCGCTCGTGTTCGAAGGTGCGAACAACAACGTCAGGCCCCTCGTGCGGTTTTTCTGCGCGCCCGTCGCCGCGGCCAACGCTGGGCTTCTATCGGAGGTGTTGCTCCGTATGCCGCGGCCCGATCTGAGGCTCTGCGGGATTGAGGGCAGCCGCGCTTGCCTCTGTCGACACCCGGCTTACGCACCAAGTCGACGCCCTGGATTCGCGGCCGTCGTACCCGCGCGATGCTACATCGGAGCTGCGGTGACCGCGACTGACGAGACGCTCCTGCGTTCTTCTAAGTTCTGCCAGACGCGGCCGCGCACGCATCGCGGTCGGCAAGAGGATGACCCTCGATCTTGGGGACTCATCGGCGACGGAAAAGCGAGCTGAAGATGCAGTACGCACCTTGCGGCTCACGGCGCAAGCGATGTTCCTCCCCCGACTTCTTCCGCTCTTTGCGACCTTCGCTGACGCCTCTCCGCAAGCGTGTGCGGCCACGGCCCCCTCTTTTTCCTTCGTTCAGTCGATCCAACGGCCAGCTATCGGCCGTCGTCAGCCTCGCGGGGATGTGGTCTCGCAGAGTGGAACGTACGGTGGGCAGGAACCAGGGAATGTGGGGCGCAAGGCGTGGGCGGTGCGAGCGCGGAGGGCGGGTGCATGATAGTCGTGCTTTGCTCTTGCAAAATTCACGGCGCGTGCGTGTCCGAACTTACCCGCGTCGTGGCCTCCATGGTGTGTCTTGTGTCTGTGGAACACCGTCAGCATCGTCATCACGACTCCTGGAACCTCCCTGACACGGATTGTCCTCGCACGGAGTATTCGGCACGAAACCCAGTCATGTCTGCGTCCCTAAAACCGGAACCCGGACGCCAGACGCCTGGCGGCCCTCCCAATCCCCCAGAACACGGATCCAGCACTGTCCGACCCCCATGGTTTGCTTGCGGTCGTAGATGCCTCCCCGCTACGACACCACGGCAAAGGACATTGCGGCCGTGGGGAGATCGAAAGGAATGCAGGAGCGAGGGACGGCAGGTACTTGCGCGAGAAGAAAACAAGAGCGAGGGTGCGAAACGTACCTGAAGGCCTGATCTCATCCTCCGCCTGTGTGCGGCGACGTGTGTGTGGGCTTGCATCCGGCCGCGGGCGAGTGTGCAGAGGGGACGAGCCAGGCCAGAGGAAGAGAGAGCAGATGGAGTAGCAGAGAGTCGGCCGGCGGCCATGTTTTGCAGTCGCCGTCCCCCGGTCGGTGCGCGGCATGCGCTCCTACGTCATGCTCCTACGTCCCGTTGCTCTGGAGGGTGTCGTCAGCGGGCGGTGTCGCGCGGCACGGGGAGATCGCATACTCGCGAGCGTTCCGTTCATCGAATTGACTGCGGCCTGTGCGAAGTGGTCCCCGTCCCACTCGATCGAGCAGTGCGTTCCTCCTGCGGGCGGCCGCGTCAGTCAGCTGGGCGGGCGCACATAGGAGCAGGCGCGGACGCACTGATGGCCCGCGAACCTTTGTTGAGCACGACATCGTTGAGGCGGGGCTTGCGTGCGCGATTCGCTTAATGTGCGGGTTCGCGGCGTTATAGAGGATGAGCACGCCTCACAAATCGTCGGCCAAATGTTCGGTATGGGACACGAGCTGGGTCGCCACCTGTGCCTCGAGGGGCCGTGTTTCCTCCACCGTGGGTGGGCACCTATCCAGGACGAGATAAGGCAGCAGCGAGCGCATACAACGGGAAAGGTTTACGCGAGTGACTCTTATTGTGCATACCCTTTGTACGGCGGGTCGATTGTAGCCGGGCTCGAGTAGATGGTCTTGGGGCGACGCACAAGGCATGGACCAGAGTATATTCTGGCTACGGTTGTGGGAGCGGTGGACGGAGGTGGAGGATCCGGGGACGGGAAGGCGAGCTCGAGAGGGCGACCGCGAAGCGGGTGCTGCGGGCAGTTGCGCATCGCCGCTGGCGCTCGATAGCGTCATGCGCACGAGGTGGACTCCGCGTCGCAGTGTACCTTCCTCTCCCTCTACATAGCGGGAACGCGAGCGGTGCGCACCATTTTCTTCTCCCTCTCTCTCCTGGTCTCTCTCTCGTCTCACGCTTCACACCGCCTTCAGGTGTCGATGGTGGGTATCCATCCGAACTGCCATTGGACACCCAGGCGCCGCTTGGTGCCGGCCATCTCCTTCTACCACTCTGCTGGCGGCGCCCACGACACGCACCACACTGGAGGACATCCTTCCGAATGCCAATAAGCTCGTCCATCCGCCTCCCCCGCTTCGCGCCCTCCGCCGCGCACCTGAGCACCCAATCGCGGGCGCCCAGTGCCGCGTTCCTCCTTCGCCCGCACGGCCTGCCACCCTCTGGAGAACTGCGGTGTGCGGGCGACGTCCACTCGGAGATCAGGGTGTTGGTGTGTGCACCGTGAGTTGCGGCGACCACTAGCTCGGTGAGTACACCCGTTTTTTGTGCTCTCCACCTCTGCTTTACCCCCGTCCACCTTGTCCTCCACCCCTCTCGCGCGCCGTGCTTGTTCGCGCGGGCACGTCCGACTCGTGGACAGTCCGGCACGGTGTCGCTGCCGGTCCCATCCCCACCCCCCGCGTCGCCCCCCCCCCCCCCAGTCCACTCCCGCACCTGTCCCGCTAGCCCACGCGAGCACGACCAAGCCGCGCTCTGTGCGCTCGCTCGACTCGCGGCGCGCAGCACCATGTCCCCGCGAAGATCGTCAGCAAGGCTCGCAGGGAATTGGTGGTCATCGAGGAGGTCGAGTGCGAGCACCTCGGCGGTTTCGAGTGAGTCCTGAGCCCGTTAACAGACGTTGCTGTATTCATCCAGGGACCACCCTCATAACGTCTTACGCCAGGCCCATCCACGCGTCTCCTACGTGCTGAAAGTTGCGCCTTGAATGTTGGCCGCAGCATCCACGGGCTTCCCCGAACTCCCTCGTGAGTGTATGGTACAAGCTCCTCAAACTCATCCTCGACTTGACTTCGACGCCTCCGGGTCCACCCTTCCCTACGCCCATCCGCCCCTCGCCCAACCCAAAGGCGTGCGGCTGTCCCTCACGCATCTCCCGCAAGCCTTCTCCATACCAGCTCCTGATGCTCGACCTTCTGGGTTGGCAGTACCTCAGGCGGATGCACGACACGATCCAGATGGCCTGGCTCGGGCTTCCCTCGCACTAGGCAGACAGACTATACAGCTGGTAAGAGGCGTACTCGACCGCACGGGGCTCGGCGGCGGGCGTTGCGCTGATGTACGCGGACCGGCGCGCGTGCCGTCGCGCGCGATCGCTCCTCCCCCGTCGGTCGTCACCTTCACTGGCGACGACGCTCCAACGCTCCGACGCTCCGACGCTCGTCGACTTCGATTCCGATACGCGTCCACGGTTCCGCACGGTGGCGGACGGTCCTGGACGACGACGGCGGTACAGCTCATCGCGCGTGGCACACACGCCAGCAAGCGCGCCCTGCCGGGAGGTTCTGGGGTGACGAAGCGGGTGGGGTGGAGCGCCACCAACTACAGGTCCGCATGCTCCATTTTCTCGCCCTGCGGTCACTGACACCGTGCGGTCTCTTTCTCCCGACAGCACTGCGGTGCCGGCACGGCGTTCGAGCGTGTGTCGGGAACGGACACCGACGTCGACGTCGAGGTGAAGCCCGCGACCTTGACCGATCCCACTCTGGTACACCTCCAGCTCGGGGCACCAGAGTGGAAACGCACCAAGGCGATAGCGAACGCGCACTGCAGCCGTGTGCCGTTCTGCTGCTCGCGCGCGCGGAGCGGTGCCTGTCCCCGGTACCGACGCGGTCGCGGATACGCCTGTTGGCCTGCGCGTCCGGAGAAGTGGGGCGTAGACTCTTTGTGGGAGTTTTTAGTTACAAGATAGCTCGCGGCCGTGCAAGATGCATATATACGTGAGATGTTTTACAGTACAACTGTGTAATGCCATCGTGTTAAGCGCACGAACCTCCACTGGTTGCCGAGAGTCCACGGTGTGGGTGGGTGCACGGGTTGGGCAACCATGACCCGCAGCCGTACCCAAAGCACTGGTGATCCCCTCCAGGGGGTACAGGCTATCTATGATCCTCGTTCGCGCCCACCGCCTGCTTCGATGCGCACGCGTCGGCCTTCAGAACAAAAACTGGGCCTCGTCCGTGCATCGCTTCTGACGAAAGCTAAAGCATGTCAAAATATCATACTCCAATGAGCACCCGGGAGATCGTTCGCATATGTACTTATGCGTATGCGTATTCTATAGCGTACGGAAAGACAGAACACGGAAAGCATCCACACGAAAGCACAACAAGAATGCACACATCTAGTACTTTTGTGTGTCGCCGACCCGGCCGGCTAGTCCATACCCTCTACTTCCGCGACAGATATCTCCGACCGCTCTGTCCGCGGCCGCTTCGCCACACGCGACTCCCCTTCAGAGTCCTCCTGCTCCTGCGTCTGCGGGGGCAGCGACGCCGCGTCTCCGTATCCTTCGTCGTCACTCTCCTCCCCCAATGACTTGCGCTTCGCCCCCTTGCGCGTCGACGACCTCCCGAGCCGTTTGTCGCCTCCGAGCGTCTTGTGTCCTCGCGTCGGCGTCGCCTCCTTCGTCGCGCGACGCTCGGGTTCCTCCACCTGCTCCTCCACAGGCCCCCCCACCGACCTCACCCAAAGCCTCGGCCGCCCACGCACGCATGTCCTGCGACGGCGCCGCGAGCTTCTCGCCCGCCTGCCGCGCTGGCTCCCCTCGCTCGCGGCGGACCGCAGGCTCCACGGCGCGTGGCCGTCCCTGACCCCGTCGGCGGCGTCAGGGCCGCCGCGGGCTCGGGCGACGGCGGGTGCACGGCGAGGGTGAGGCTCGGGCTATCGAGGGACGTGCACGAGCCCGCCACAGGGCGCGTCGACGCGGCCTGCCCGCCGTCCCGGGCAGTCTTCGCAGGCCCATCAGCGGGGCCGCGGGCGGAGGGTGCGCGCGGGCTCCGCGCCGTTCGCGAGAGACGGGAAAGAGGGGAGGGTGCGGAGCGCGGGCGGGGTCCCGCGGAGAAGCCGGGGCGCGCCTTCGACCTCCGCCTCGGTGGCGAGCCATGGGTGGTCCAGCGCGCCGGTGAGCGACATACGCTCGCTCGGGGAGGACGCGACGGGCGCGCGGATGGACCGCTCGGCTGTGTGTGGAGGGGCCGGTGTCAGCTCGCGTGGCCAGGAAGAGGGAGGAGACACGGTTCGCTCACGTCGCACTCGTACAGGAGCGTCCGCTGCACCCGGCGGGTCACGACGATGGTGTGGATGTCTACGTTCTGCGGGTCCGCGTCGAACGGGGTGCTCTGCGTGAGCCCGATCAGCACGCGGTCTTCGATTGCGTCGCCCGCACGGACGGACATGACAAAGACGCTCACGACGACGCTCGTCACTGTCCAGAATGTTCTCCGGCTTCAGGTAGCGGTGAATGATCCATTGATCGTGCACGTACTGCAGACAATGGTCGGAGGGCGGTGAGATGGTGAGGAGAGGTGCTCACGGAAAGGGTGTCGCAGATCTGGTACGTCTTCCGCTGCGTCTCGGCCCCGTTGTAACGACAGTGAGCGCATATACCAGTCGTCACGCGTCAGGCCTACATGGCTGATCTGGAGGGCATTGTCAGCGAGCGGTGCAGTGTGGCGCCGGGATCTCACATACTCGCGAACGTCCGGCCCATCGAAAAGTCGGCGACCTTGACCGCGGCCCGCACGGAGTAGTCCCCGTCCTACTAGGTCGAGCAATGCGTTCCGTCTGCAAGCAGCTGCGTCGGTCAGCTGGGCGGGCGCACAGAGGAGCGGGTGCGGACGCACTGATGCCCGCGAACCTTTGTCGGGCACGACGTCATTAAGGCGGGGCTTGCGTCCGAGCCGGTACGTGCGCTGCGCCTTGAAGAGGTCGTTTTGTTTGATGTGCGGGCTCGCGGCGTTGCCGCAGGGGATGAGGCTGTCGCCGGCTGGGTAGTCCGTCTGGGACGCATGCTGGGTCTCCGCCTGTTTTTCGAGGGGCGTGTCTCCTCCATCTTGGGTGGCCAGTACCTATCCGGGACGAGATCAGCGAGGAGCGAGCGCATACAGCGGCAGGAGAGGCGTACACGAGCTATCTGGCATCGATGACGTCACCGTGCGCGACACGTCCGCGTCAGGGAGAGTTCAGCGCACCGATCTCTCTCTCTTTGTGGCGGGTCGTTTGCAGCCGAGCTCGAGTAGACGATCCGAGGGAGACGGGCGAGGCGTACATCAGAGTAAATTCTGGCTACGGTTGTGGGAGCGCTGGATGGAGGTGGAGGTCGCACCGCGTGGAGGAGGAGGAGGAGGAGGTTGGTGACTTGATCTAGCGCGCATTGGTCTGGCGTCTACGCTGCCTCCATCCCCGCGCGCACAAGTACACCCGCGCGCCGTCCTGCTCTTTGTGCGCCGCGTGGAAGCACCCATCTGCAACACTCGCCCAGCGGACCCGCAGACACTTCGTCGTAGCAACTGCAGCTGCCGCCATGCGGAGGAACGAAGCCTCGCAGGCAGCCGCCGCCCGTGAGCGAGCACAATTTGCGGATAGGCCGGTCGAAGCGAGTGACGGTTCCTCGGCCGACGGATGTGGTTAATGCAAGGCCGGCGAGGTCAGGGTACGCGCGGGCGGGCACGTTCCTGTGTGACTGAGCGAGGTCAATGGACGGAAAGTTTCGTCATGGTAATGGCGAGCACTCACAGAGCGTGAACGATGAGGATGATGTTGCATGAATGGACAGGAACGACCACGGTTGCGTCTCCGCCCCGCGCGCGACGTGGTCTGACGCATGCCCGTGCGGCGCGAGCAACATCTGACGGCTGCATGTGCCGGTGTGTCATCCCCACGGAAGCAGCGTCACCCACGTTGGCTGGGGCTGGTGCCGCTCCAGGTGATGATCTGCCTCGAGCGACCGCTCCCGACCTTGCTGGCATGAGCTTGGTTTCGGTGGTGCGACGAGGGGTATTAGCCAGCGGACGGGACCGGTGGTGCTGTGAACGACCCCGATTGGTTCCCGTATCCAAACCAGACCAGCGATCCCACAGGCGTAGGCAGCGAGTGCGCACGGTCCTGCGCGTGGTCGTGCGCGTGAGTCGCGGACCGCGCCGGCGAGTGCGAGTGGCCCCGAGAACGAGTGACGTTGTTCCGGGTGGGTCATTGGGGCTCCATCGCCAGGTGCCTTCTGCTCAGCACGCCGAGGCCCTTGCGGCGTGGACGGCGTTGTACGAGGTGCGCGCGTCGCTCGAGAACACGTGCCGGCTCGGCTTGCGCACGCGCACGCGCCCGCTCGTCCTGCGTGTGCCGGGCCCGCACGACACAGAGGAGGTCGACGTGTCCCGCATGCGGCTGCGGCACCCCCTCGCGGACATGCGACCAGCGGTGCTAGAACTAGTGGTGGGCAAGGAGCAGTGCGCGATGGAGGCGGAGCTCCGGGGGGAGTTTCTGGAGGAGGAGGGGTGCTGGGAGAGCGTTAGGGAGCTCTTGCTCGAGCTGGAATTTGACGGGACGCACGAGCGGGCAGTGTGCGACGTCGTGGTGCGTGGTCTTGGATCGAGTGCGCGTTTGGTAGGATACCCTGGCAGGTCTGCTCCTCGTCGTCCTGCTGTCAACGCTCAGGTTCAAGGTTTGCGGTGGTCCGCTTCGGCCATCAAGTCGGAGGGTTTCCGAACGCCTGACGTGCCATGTCCGATCGGTGGCTGTCAAGACGAGCTGAAGCAGGTCTACGTGAGAATGAGCGTTGTCGTACCCCTGCCAGAAAACCGTCATAAAAAGGACGAGAAGAGGGCCTGTGAGAAAGTCTTGGTACTGTGCGTATGCGTCGTCGCGAGCGCATGGAGCGTCCGGTCGCGGGCCTAGGAAGCGTGCTGGCACCGTCTGCGGGGAAGCTGAGTGCGCGTACCCTGCAGAAGCCAGCGAGCCTGCTGGGGCCGGAGCGGAGCGGGAGGCGTTCGGTCGGGACGACGGTACGGGCGTCGTGCGTCTCGTTCTGCGAGAACGAATGGCCCATCTCAAGCGCGAGCATATGCCGCACATTATCTGCTTGGACGGGATGTTAACCTGGGATCTCGGCGTAAAAACGTCGGGCACCCACCTCGGACAGGGTCATATTCGCTGCCAACTAAGACCGGGTGTCCTGGCGCGTTTAGCCAAGGTACGGATGATTCGACGGCGACGGTACCGTCTGCGGCGCCCCTGGATGGGCCACGGCAGGACATGGTTAGCGGGGAGGAAAGACGTCGGGATAGTACAGACGCGGTAGAACGAAGAGGTCTGAACGGTGGGAGAGTCGGAAATGGGGGTCTTGGCTGGAGGGAGGGCTAGGAGGATAAGAAGGTAGATGAACACGTACGAGTGGTCGGCTGCAAGCACGCTCTGGTCTGCATCCCGCTACGGGCCAGGTGAAACGACGGAATTGGGAGTAGTGGTACGCGTCCTGATTGGTTTGCACACGCCCGCTAACGGGTTCGTGCACGATAATGCCTGGCGGCGGGGGTGCGTCGAGGGCCGATCTCTTGCTGGGTGCCGCTGACTTTGCGCGTTCGTTGGCAGAGTCGCACATCGAAGCGCCGGAATTCACGGACGAGACAGCCGGGGAGGCGTGGAGGAGCGGGGCAGCGATGGCCGATGGTCGACGGGGCGAGAGGTTGCAACACTGTGGGTAACGGGCTGTGTCGACCGCGGTATGCCCTGGGACGCAACAACCTGTAGGTGAGTGTGTCGGGCGAGGTCTTGACGTGTCGAGATGGGCGGGTACGCCGTGGATGAGGCGTTGCGTCGACCGCGGTGCGCCCTGCTCGGCGAGTCCAAGGCTGGTCAGCAAGCGCCAAGCGCTGGGCGGGAGAGGCGAGGAGAGGCGTCACCGCAGGCGCTCGATTGCGTCATGCGCGCGAGGTGGACGCCGCGTCGAGCGAGTTCGCGCCTTCCCCGCCCTCTCGACCGCCTCGCGCTCTCTCAGCCCATCTCGTGCTTGCAAGCGTCTGGGCGTCGAAAAGAACACCGAGTCACGCCCTCTGCGTTCCGGCTCTCCGTGATCAAGCTCAAGGTCCGCCCGTCTTCCTTCGCAACCGACCATGTCTAACGCAGTGAAGCTGACAGGACACAGTAGCTGTACATCCGGCTCAGCTCGTCTACCTCCGGAACAAGCTATCACCAATGCACTCAACGAGGTCCACGCGAGACGCGTCTTGCACGGCGTCGGCATGTGCACACGTGTCTTCGTCTTCGCGGAAGTACGGCAGGGCAAGGTGCGGCACGGAGATGGATGTCTGTGGTACAAAGATCGGTGAGTCTGTCTCGCACTAGGTGGAGGTACGACTACCAATTCTCTGCGTCTTCCGTCCCTCCGGATCCGAGGTCATTCTCGCCAAGGTCAAGTCCTCGGATGAGGACGGTGTCCAACGTACGTCTCTTCGGCCTCGTTCTCGCGCCCCGAAGCTCACTCGCGCCCAGTAACTGTCGGATTCTTTGGCGACATCTACGTCCCCCTTGTTTACCTGCCGGACCCCTGCGCCTTGTAAGTGCCCCCCTATCTAGCATGTCTTCCCCGACACCTATCTCCGTCCGCCCCCAGCGACCCAGAAGAGCGAGCACATTTCCGGCTTCCAGGATCGGAAGCAACTTGCTTGTCTCACGAGCTCCTCGAGTTGCCCCTGACGGACCGGATGTGCATCAACGCCGGCGATGTCCTCCGGGTGCGCGTCGAGGCAGACGGGTTCCATGACGATGAGCTTGGTCCGCAGAAGACGCGTGAGGGCGTTGAACAAGCTCTGAGCGCCTTCCCTGCTTCCCCCTGTCGGTGAAGAATTGCTCATGTATGGTTCTGGTTCCAGTGCCCGATGTCAGAACAGTGACTTGGGCCTTGGAGGAACGCTGGCGTCGAAACAACGGACGGTGGCTGACACGTAATCAGACCGCACCATGTACTTGTTGTTTGCTCGTATCCTTCGATGACATGTTGTGGTCTCGTTCACGTCAACCATGGTCAGCATTGCTGACTCGAAAGAGGAAGCGGAGCTGGAGGATGAAATTTCGCGTCTGATTGCCATCACAAGCTATGTCGTTGAATCCGTTCTCTGTTCTCGCCATATAAACATGCACGAAAGAATGAAGCCTGGGACCCCGGACCAGTCATCCCACATCCTCACGTAGTCCTGCGCATGAAGCACCAACACTTCAACCCGTGCACGACGAAAATCTACGGTGTGCGTGGTATATCCATGGAGGCGGCCGGCGAAGTGGCAGGGGCCGTGTCGGGCGCCATGGACGTTTCGTGTGGAGTGGCAACAGCATCCACCGTGGCGAGAGAATCCGCAGGGCTGTGAGGCGGGGTCAGCATCAGGAATCACAAAAGTGGCAAGGGTGGATACGAACTCGGTGTGTTTCTCCGATTGAGGGTCTCCGGTGGGAGTCCCGGGCGTGCCCGGTGGAGCGCATAGCGGGACCTTCGACGTGAGATCGAGGAGGTGACGTTTGCACCAGCACACATCTACATCCTCCGGCTCCATTTGACGCCAATTCTCAGTTCCAACGAGCTGTATGAACGCGCGCTCGAGCGCCGCAACGAGGGATGGTGTGACCAGATAGCGTATGCCGTCTGAGGAATGGGAGTGGAATCGGAGTATGTCGCACAGGATATCATCGAACCAGTAGCAGGCGTCGTCCGGTGATACAGGCAGCGACCAGTCAATCGTGCTGATGAACTTTTCAAAGGAGGAGAACGCGTGCGCGACGAACGGCTGGATCGCAGCGATGCCGTCGCACTCGCGGATCCTGGGCGCCGAGTACTCGACGAGTTCCCGGATGGGGCGGATATGCTTCTGCATGAACTTAAACTCGCCGGTGAGGACCTCTTGAGAAGGCGGGTCTGCGCGTCGGAGGCCACGGTCGCTGACATGCGTTTGCATCCGATGAGCTGCCGCGAAGGCAGCTGCGATCACGGTGAGCGCTCTGACTTGGACGGGGTTGAAGATGAAGTCGCAGACGCACCGAGTTGCAACGTTCCGGCGTCGCCGATTTCCTGGAACGCGTCGTTCTCCCACAGTTTGTCCCATTCTGAGTCTGTGCTCGCGGGTTCGACCGTTCTTAGTATACTGGCGAGCAGTCGGGTCCCGGTCGCTGCGTCGGGCGCCGTGGACATTTCGTGTGGAGTTGCAGTGGCGTCCACCTCCACGGGGGAATCCGCAGGGCTGTGAGACGGGGTCAGCGTCGGGAATCGCACAAATGAAGGACGGATACGA